AGCTTTCCTCATTCCAACCCTCTTCTTAAACCTCCTTTCTATTGCTTTTCTCAACTCCTTCCTGCTGAATATTATATAGGTTCTTCAGTATAACTAAAATCAGCTCAGAAGGGCTAAAGATAGAGCACAGATACTACACACTTATCTAAGATGCATATGTACAGTGATCAATCATAAATCAAATATTAATAATAATAATAATAATAATAATGTGACATCAATGGAATACGTGTAGCATTTTATTACAAATAACTGTAATTGCTTTCTACCTCTTTTTGATATAGTACTAATCAACTTGGAATTGGTTAAGCATCTCACCTTGCAAGGCTTTCTTTCAGATAAGCAATATAGCTTTCACTTCTCTAGATCAACTGCTGATGTATTAATGATTATTTCTGAAAGAGTCTCGCAAGCTTTAGATAAGAATGATGAAGCTTGGGCTGTGGCTTTGAATATCTCTAAAGCTTTTGACAGGGTTTGGTATATTAGTCTCCTTCATAAGTTGAAAGATTATGGTATTTTTGGAGGAATTTTTGAACTGATTAAGTCTTTTTTTTTAATCTTAAATGGCCACTCGTCTAGATCTTTTTGCACTAATGCAGATGTCCTCCATGGCTCTATCCTTGGTCCTACATTGCTCCTAATTTTCTTCAACAACATTCCTGATGTCAGCAGTTCTCAACTTGCTACCTATGATGATGACACAACCATTTATTCCTGTCTTAATTGTAAGTCTGATAGGCTCAATACAGTCAAATTGGCAGCTGATCTAAAATATTACCTACAATCAGTTGTTAACTGGGGCAAGAAATGTTGTGTTAATTTTAATGCCTCCAAAACTCAACTGTTCTATTTTAATTGTCTTAGATAATCTTTTCTGTCTTCCATCAGCATGTCTGATGCTATTCTTTAGGAGAGTGACTCATTGTGCTTTCTTGGTCTAATGTTTTTTGCTGACATGAAGTGGAAAGATTATATTAAAACAATTGTTAAGTCTGCTGCTAAGAAAGTTGGTTTACTGTGTCGTACGAGATAATTTTTCTCGCCAGAATCTATCTTACACATTTAAGTCTACCATTCGCCCATGTTTTGAATATTACTACTACATCTGGTCTGGTACTTCTGCTATTTATTTAGAGATACTTGATAAAATCCAAAGAAGAATCTGCAATGTTATTGGTCCTAACCTGACATCTTGGCTTCAGTCACTTCCTTACCACTGTAATGTAGCTTCCTTCTACCTTTTCTATAAATACTTTCATGGTAAATGTACTGAAGAAATTTTCTCTTTGGTAGTTAGACTTTATGAATTTAAGAGCAGTACTAGATTGGTGACAATGTCTCATCTTTTTGCAGTTCAAATGGCTTGATGTTGAAGTCAGCTATCTTCCTGACCCATAACTGACTGCTCATCTCCAACATTGTCCCAATGCTATGGTAATGTTGCAAAGGGCTGTAGCAGAAAAATTCTTAATTCTTGTACTTTTACTGTTCTCTCTCCTGAATAGTATTTTTTCTCATATTCTCTAACATTAAGCAACCCCTTGTGTCTTAGTGACTTTAGTGTCTTGCTTGGGGTGATATTATATATATATATATATATATATATATATATATATATATATATTGAGAAATATAATTTAGAGATGTTGAATAATTTAGAGATGTTCTGTCTACTTATTTTCAATATGATCCTTTCAGATTCATGGATAAGCTTTTTGGTGTCATTATTGAAGGATGGGAGAAAATCGCTGTGTTGATACATATTTCTTTTATTTCCAAGTACTTTTCAACATAGCACAATGTCATCATCAGGGTATTGTTTATTACAAGATAAATACAGAAATAAAAGAAATATGTATCAATGTGGTTATTTTCTCCCATCCTTCAACAATGACACCAAAAAGCTTATTAAATTATTTAATAAAACAAGTCTCAATGAAAACATCCTGCTGAAATACACACATACACACACACACACACACACATATATAGAGCCACTAAACATAATGTTTCTAGTAATAATAAATGTGTGTGTGTGTGTGTGTGAACATTATACATGTGAAAAAATTGCGAAGTTTCACAGATGTTTTCACAGATGTTTTAACCTAAAAATATCTGAATACCAAGAATAAATCAAGGCTGAAAAAATGAAAAAAATAATTTAAAAATAGGATCGTCATCTAAGTAGAGCAGGCCTCAAAAAAATCATCAATGATAACAGAGAGAGGAAGGTCATTCATTACATGCTATGCAGTATTTATGTAACAACTACTGCAAAAGATGCCCAATACCACCACCTGCACAAAAGAATGTAAAACCATAGCAGGACTGAAAAAACACATCCACACTGCCCAATGTACAATGATGATTCAGCTCTGAAATCCAGGTCTAATTCATGTTTGTTTTAGATACATTTCATTTTGATTCATTGTCTTTGAATATGTGTCAAAGACATACACATGTACACATATACAAGTATACCTGTATATAATAAAGACACATACACATTTGTTAAATATATGTGGACAGGACTTTTAAATGATGTTTAGTTTGTTAGATTATTCTTTCTTCTTGTTCTGTAATTGCTGCATTTTATTCTGAGCTTTACTTTCACATTCTTTTTTCTTTATTCATTTTATTTATTTCTCTTCTGCAGAAATATTTACATCAAGAGAAGAGCTGCAGGTGCACACTCATATTTTTATTCAAGGAATTATTTTTTGCTTGTTCCAAGAGGAGATTGTATACTTTATTTCTGATATTATTTGAGATTTCCCAAAGCAGGCATATAACCATTCTTCCCACTAAGCAGCACTATTCTGCTTTGTACTAACAACTTTTTGTATCATAAAGATTTTGTAACAAAAAAAGCAAATAAACTTTGAAGATTTCCACTTATGTTCAAATCTGTAATTTAAAAAACTTTATGCCATTGAATTAATGGTTCCTTTTAAGGAAAATATTTTAAATGGATCAATATAAGCTGGAAAAGTAAACAGATATGTAAAAGCAATACATAAGAAATTGATGGACAACCAATATATTTCCTATCAAAATCAGGTGATATGGTTGGATTTTTCTTTGCCAATTCAACCAAAAACTGACTAAATTCAGATTGTCAACAACAACAAAAAAGGAAATATATTAAAAGCTTTCAAGATCAGACAAAAGTTATATCTGCATGGATTTGGTACTTCCACACTATGATGGAAAACCAACAAAGTCTGGTGGTATCATGAGTGACTGCTGAAGTGCTCTGCATTAATGCAAATCATGTCTTGGCTCCCAAAGCAAGCCTGAAATTTTTATTATTATGACCATCAAGAAAATGGTTTTAAAAAATCTTTAACCTTTATTTAAATGACCGAATACAAGTTCTCATCAAAAAGTATCAGGTCTGGTGCTATAAAAAGAAAACATCATATATCAATTCAGCATTTAATCTCCTTTGAAGTAGTCTCCTTCTGAAGCTACACACTTTATACAGTGTCATTGCCATTGATGGAAGCATTCCTGGTATTTTTTTATAGGATAGCAAGCAGCTACCCCATTGCATTTTCTTGGTTTCCTTGATGTCTTGAAATCTTGTTCCTTTCAAATGGGATTTGATATTTGGAAAGTGGGAAAAGTCACAAGGGGCAAAGTTCTGGGGAATCTTGTTCTTGGCCAAAAACTGCTGTTGTATAGGCTGCACTGAATGGGTAGATACATTTCATAGTAGAGTTGTCATTCACTGGATGCATGCAATTCTGCCCTTTCCTGATGAACATCATCCTACAAATGCTGCAATATGTCACTGTAGTACTTTTTGTTTACTGGCCGGATTCGGTGAAGCATAATCTTGATGCACAATGACATAGTCTAAGCAAAGTGTCAACAGTGTCTACACATTGCTTCAACTCATTCATGCTTTCTTTGATCTTGGAGAGTTTGGAGTCTACCACTGTTTCCAAAGATTTCAATGATGTGATGAGAAACAACACTCTACACACTTTACTTCTAAGCACTGCTATAAACAATGGAAATGAGTGAGAAATTTATAAATGAATGTACATATATTTCAGAATTCAAGGTCAATCATTACCAAGCAGCTTTTCTCTGTGTACTTTAGTTCTGTTATCAACTGTCCCGATACTTTATGATCAGGCCTCATATATTCAGTTTCTTGATCATTTAACCAACAAATTATTTTCTGTAGACAGTAATCTTTAAGTAACACCAAATAAACACCACATGAATTAAAGTTCAAAATATTCAAATTAATTTCAACCAAGTTTTTATTTTTCTGATTGAAACCATTTCAAAGTTCAGGCTTTGTTCATGATACCCACCTTGTTATATATAAAATATAAATATACAAATTGGGTGAGAGGACATTATATTTATATAACAGAATAAAATTGTGTAAGAGGACAATCTCAATCAACAGAGTGACAATACTTCACCAAACAACAGAAAAATGTTCCCTAAGGAGAAATTTCAAAAACTTAAATATTGCCTAATGGTTAAATACACTTTGGTAAGAAAGGAAATAAACTAGTGCCATTGCTTAAAACACATTCATTAAGCTGTTGAGTAGGAGTCTAATTCAAGGATGGTGAGTTCAATCCAAGGTAGGAGTCAGCATAGTTAACAATTATATTTATATTATGGAATAAGATTGACTGAGAGGATATATTTTTGTAACAAAATAAGATTGAGTGAAAGGACATTATATTTATATAATATAATAAATTTGAGTAAGAGGATATATTTATATAAGAATAAGTTTTTAATGTCCTTAAATGAATCTGATTATCATAATAGGTGTAATTTATTAAACTAGAAAGAATAGACATAACAGAATATCTTATTCTCATCAAGGTGTCTTTTATTTAATCTTAGCTCTGTAACAAGATAGGTAGATGAACCATAGCTCATAATTTACAACTTGACATTCTATTCACAAAACTATTATAAAAAGTAATTAAATGTGAAAAAAAGAGAAAAAAAATTACCATTTCAATCAGATGGTCTTCAATTTTGATTTCTACCTTTTTCCTGGTCAAGTCATTCACTTTGCATTTTATAAACCTTTCACGGGCAAGAGATGCATCTATTTTTTTATCTTGAGTACTAAAAAAGAAAAGGAAAATTGAAAATATAAAATTAAAAAAATAAGAAAATGTGAAAGAAAAATGACAATAAAAGAAGAAATAGAATCATGAATGTAAAGTTGAAAAAAAATTAGATGTTAGAAAGGAAATTTAAAAAATGAATTTTAAAAAATCTAAATAAAAAATAAAAAAGGGAAATAATGAGATAAATGGATCAAAAACATATAAACTCATATCTATTTGCTGATTCAAGCTTGTAGAATCTTAAAAAAAAAAAAGTATAGCTAATATACAGGTGAGTGTATACACATTTAAAAACAGAATTAATTTTCACTTCAAGTTAAATGGGAAAGTACAATTCAAAAGATATGATATCCAGTAAAAAGATAAATTATTTTGAGAATAGCACCTGAAACTGAAAGTGATATAAAATCTATCAATATTTTTAAATTCAGAAAAAATCATAATTAAATAGTTTGGGAATGAGCTTACAAAATTAAATTGGATTATTGTTTTCCTCATGCCTTTATTTCCAGGATGTATTGTGCAAAAGATTTGGTCAGGTTATCCTATAATTCATTTGTAGACACATAAGAAAATAAGAGGAAATCAAACAGGAAGTAAATGTATTAAACTTGAAGTTAATGAAAGAATTATATAATTTTTGATTAAATTTTTAGATTAAAAGCATATCTATAAGTCTACCATTCATCCATGGTTAGAATATTGCTGCCACATATGGTGAAGTGTCTCTGCTATTTACCTTCAGCTCTTTGATAAGATCCAAAGAAGAATCAGCAATATTATTGGTCTTGATCTCGCAGCTCAGCTTCAGTCACTTTTCTACCACCATAAGGTTGCCTCTCTATGTATCTTCTATAAATACTTTCATGGCAATTGTTTGGATGAGCTCTTTGCTATGGCACCTAGAGTTTTTGAATTTAATCGCAGTACTAGACTGGTATCAAGATTTCATCAATTTACATATGAGCTGGCTAAATGTATCCATAAAGTCTATGCTAACAGTTTCTTCTCTCATGTTCTGTCACTTCTGGAACTCTGTTCTGGTTTCATGCTTTCCAGCCAACTTTAATCTGCAAAAATTTAAATGCAATGTCAATTGCTATCTAGTGTCCTCCTGATTACTCTTTTCTTTTCCCTCTCATTATTAATGTTTCTGTTCCTAATTCTTCCACGCCCTGTAACCCCTTGTGTCTTAGTGGCTTTACTTCCTTTCTTGTGGAACTCTCTTCCAGTTCCGTGCTTTCTAACCAACTTTAATCTGCAATAATTTAAATGCAATATCAACCACTCTCTACTGTTCTGATTACTCTTTCCTCTTCCCGCTCATTATTAATGTTTCTGTTCCTAATTCTTCTACACCCTGTAACCTCTTGTGTCTTAGTGGCTTTACTTCCTTTCTTGTGGAACTCCCTTCCAGTTCCATGCTTTCCAGCCAACTTTAATCTGCAAAAATTTAAATGCAATGTCAATTGCTATCTAGTGTCCTCCTGATTACTCTTTTCTTTTCCCTCTCATTATTAATGTTTCTGTTCCTAATTCTTCCACGCCCTGTAACCCCTTGTGTCTTAGTGGCTTTACTGCCTTTCTTGTAGAACTCCTTTTCAGGCTTCATGCTTTCCAACCAACTTTAATCTGCAAAAATTTAAATGCAATATCAACCACTATCTACTGTTCTGATTACTCTTTCCTCTTCCCACTCATTATTAATGTTTCTGTTCCTAATTCTTCCACACACTGTAACCCCTTGTGTCTTAGTGGCTTTACTGCCTCTCTTGTGGAACTCCCTTTCAGTTCCATGCTTTCCAACCAACTTTAATCTGCAAAAATTTAAATGCAATGTCAATTGCTATCTAGTGTCCTCCTGATTACTCTTTTCTTTTCCCTCTCATTATTAATGTTTCTGTTCCTAATTCTTCCACACCCTGTAACCCCTTGTGTTTTAGTGACTTTACTGCCTTTCTAGTGGAACTCCCTTATGTCTCCATGCTTTAAAGCCAATTTTAATCTACAAATATTTAAATGCAATGTCAATTACTATCTACTGTCCTCTTGATTACTCTTTCCTCTTCCCGCACATTATTAATGTTTCTGCTCCTAATTCTTCCACATCCTGTAACCTCTCTTGTTTTAGTGGCATTACTGCCTTCCTTGGGGTGATTCTGATTAAAAAAAAAAGAAAAGGAAAGCAATAAAATATGTTGAGAAGAAGATGTGGATAATGTAACAGATACTGGTGTGGAAATTGGAATTGGTAAACCAATTTCAAATTGCTGATTAATCTGTCATGTTCATTTTTATACAAATGCCTTTAGGAAAGGTATGATTTCCTCTTTATTTCCAACTATGATTTAAATAATAGAAGAGACTAGGCTTCCTTGCCCTGGGTGGCAATCAATCAAAGAGAAGGAAAACTCTGGATTCCAAACCATGCAGAAGGCAGTAGAAATCTTTCTCAAGAATGCATAGCATTTCACAAATAATAAAGAAAAGGAACTTATGGAGAATCATCATCTACATTTTGAAGGGACATGAATTTAGGAGGACTTATTTGATATTAAAGTAAAAATAAGTCACTAAAATTAGACCAAATATTTAAAAGTAACAGTTAATAATTTAATTGTTTATTTATTTCCTTTTGTTTCAACAAAGAAAGAAAACAGATAAAATCAATACCTATTTATTGACTAATGTTTATCAAATAAAAGACTGAACAAAACAGATTAGAATAAAACCAATAAATAATAAAACATTAATCTTTTTAAATCTGTTTACAAGAATTATATTTCTCATGATTTCTTGAAAAGTTTCAGGAACAAATTCCTTTACAACAAATCTTGCTATCTATTTTGTAAGTAAAGATTGAGAACTGGGATTATAACAGTTTGTAAATTATTGTCAGAATTGAACAAAAAACTGCAAAAACTTTGTTTCACTTTGAAGCACATTTTCACTATTTTTCTTTTTTGGCTAATATAGCAATAAAGAGTAAAGACTTCAAGGTCACACCTACATTTGTACTTGCAAGATGTATACAAGAGAGCTTAAAACAAATAATAAAAACAAAGCAAGTAATAAAAATAACAAACAAGGAAACAATGAGAAACATAACATGGCAATAGAAATTGTCATAGACTACAAAAAAAAAAAAAAACAAAGTTGGAGATGGTGGCACAGAGGACATCTAAAAAAAAAAGAAGTAATATCTTTTCTTTTGTAAACCAGAATGATCGTATTAGAATAAAGGATATCATAAGTAAAGGCCTAGCAACCATGATGCATGTATCTTTGGTTGGAAGTGAGTATGCTAGTGATAAATTATTACTAATCTACAATTACTGAGAAAATTATTTAACAAGGGACTTGCTACTGGACTCCAGTAATTAGCTAAGTAACAACTATAACTAATACTAGGAAATCAGTTATTATTACTGAATTAGAGAGTAGCATGCCAACAAAGTGAGGCTGGAGTACAAATATACAAAGTCCAATATACTCATCATGACAACATGTCTTATAAGTGTATAGTGCGCACATGTGATTATGTGGGGTTATTTTTTCTACCTGTTATTGTTGTTCAGAAAGCAGAGAAAATATTTTTGAATAAAACAATCAGAATGGTATTTAAACTTTTACAAAATAATACTCACCAATGATATGATTGTTATTTAGGCTGAAAAGATGTTTTTTTACTATATGACCTATAAACAAATCTTTTGAGTTGTTTTTGTTTCCACCTCTCACTTCACCTGTTATGACTCTAGAACATAGTTATTTAGTGTTATAATTTGTGCTATAGATCAACCTCCTTCAAACAGGCTAGGATAATCTCTACTTTCATCGACTTGAAAATGTCCTGTAGATTAGTAATGTTACAAAATCATTGACACAAGCTCACTACAATTGGTCAGAATATGCTTCATAGGATGACTTCCTCATTCCAAGAATGTCTGAGGACATCATGCCATTCTCTTAGAATGGGTTTAATTTTGCACAATTTGTTGTTTGGGTGATAGTTCTATAACTCTTGGTGTTTGTTTAGAATGTTTATAGTTGATTTGAAGTCTGCATAGGGGATTTTTAAATTTGAAATATTAATTTTTAGGAATTACTTTCTTGCCATATCAGCTTTTCCACAAATGATTAATGAAACAATGTTTTTGATTATATTAGAAAACAGAGAATATGTAAAAGCAGTCATTGTAGAGAAAAGAATGAAACTGTATACACAAAATAAGTAAATGTGGCAATTTTGCCCAAAAGAAAATATAAGAATATAAAAATAGACATGTTTTTGAGATCTAGTCAACTAATTGCATCTGAGCAAGTCTAGATTTGGTTGTAAAGAAAGTTAACCAGATCATACACATGCTTGTTTGAGGAGACTATGGAATTAAAATAAAATAAACTTCAAAAAATAGAAAACAAAAAATACAAGGCTTACACCCAGAAACTGATAATCTATAAGACACCTGGGTCAATGCTACACTCATAATAGGAAGCGCACCAAAATACAAATGAAGATTTGAAATCACAGAAGAATGAATGCTGAGAAAGGTACTAGAGATTTCTGAAGAATTAAAAAATATTGCTACATTCTTTTTTTTCCTGCAATTATGCACATTCTTCTTTTTTCTTCTTCTTCACATTCTTTCTTATACTTTTTTATTATTTTTTTAATTCTAAGGCTACTTCTCAGATCTTCAGTTACTACTTTCTTTATCTTAGTTATTGCTTTTTTCGTTGACCACATTCACCTATTTTTTTCTTTCTTTCATTAATTGTTCACTTTCATTCTTCCATTTTTCTCCATTCCCATGTTTATATATTTCTTTGTATTCTCAATTCTTTTCTTACATCAATTGTTCAAATTATTATATTTTTCTTTCCTTAATGAATAAAAATAAATAAGTTATGTTAGAAAGAACAGATTTTTTAAATTATAAATTATATATATATATATATATATATATATATATATATATATATGTGTGTGTG